TAATAAACAGCAAAGAAAGTTTAAATTGAGACTTACCACGGGGCACCGTATATTCGGAATCCTTTAACTGTTATCTCTGAATCTTGTAAGTAAATACTATTTGTCAGGAGTGACTGAACATTGTCAAAGTCCTCTGGTTTCAATTTGGACACAGAGGGAAAGCGGTAGTAATCTTGTTTAACAAGGTCTGCCATGAATTCCTTATCAAATGTCAGTTCATGATTCCCAGCAATCACTATTTTATATTCATATGGTAGGTTTCCTGAAATAACAAAAAAGAGGACTTAATTAGCACATTTTCTTCCCACACCAGCATTGCCGGCACAATAAGTAGAGAGCTAGCAGTGACAGAATGTAATACCCAAGATATGTGTGCATCTCCATGTTGAGCCGAAGTTAATAATGCTGCTTCTCTTCCATTGAATGAAACTGTGTTAAAATATAAAGTAACGTCACACAAAGCAATGTTATAATAAAAAGCATTAAACAAAACAAGCTGGTAGGCACCAAACCAGCTCCAAAGGTGGCATAAACCACCACTGCTCCCTTGCTTTCAACTGATGACACGCTGATTTAGATGAGCCTAAGATGTGACTCTGAGTCCTACCGCTTAATTCATGGGACTGGGTCAGTCAGCAGTCTTGAGTCCTAATCCACAGGAGTGACCTGCAGTGAGATACCTCAGGTGTCTGAGTGGGTGGGTAGAGCAGAGACTGCAGTATGCCTCACAAGTATGTCGTGAGGGTACCAGGCATGGGGTACTGAATTAGGCTGCTAGTGCTATTGGTTTTTATTATGCCATTATTTGGATGAATTCGTATGGAAACCAAAACATTTAAGAAGTGGCATTTACTCCCAGACCTAGCCTGTTCTCCAAAGCTCTAAGTCACTTGCAACAGACTGTCGCTTTTTTTATTATTATTATTCAGTTTATAGTAGTATCTCATTTCTGTAAGAAGTACACATGTAGAAGAAACCATGAAACTCAAGCAAGTAAGACATAAGGTCGGAAAAAGGAAATGTGGTTAATTCATTTACCCTGAGGGTCAGAGATAAAGAGTACAGGCTTGATCACCTCAAGTCAGGGCAACTATTTCCATTGTTTGGAACGAGGCATGGATCAGGCCCATGGAACCAGATTTTTGGAGTTCAGAGACAGATTTTCAAGCACTTGGTACCAACAACCAGTGCCAGATCTTCCAAATAAACATACCGGGTGCTGAGCTCTCTTAAAAACATGGTCCCATACTGTAGCGTCTTCACAGAAGTTAGGTTCTTTTACAAAATCTGTCCCACTGTGACTTGCCAAAAATCACATGTAAGTTTGCATCAAAGCTAAAACCAGACTCCCATCTCCCTTCTACTGCCTTCAATATAAGCCTGATTTCCTAGTCTTATACCAAATCATTCATTTTGGTGTATATTCCTAATAATCATTTAGAAAAGGTTGGTTTTGGTTTTACCTTTCCCCCCCATAAAGGCAGCAAAATGTATGTGGAAATCTATGGGTCCATCGTCCACTTCTGGTACTCCCAACATCTACCTCAAGGAACACAGAATAGGACGCTATATATTTCTCATGAATACAGTTCTCCTAAATAGATGTGGCTTTGCTAGTTTAAAACTTGTCTTTCAACTTTCAAAACTGTTTGGGTTTGTGGTTTTGTTTTTTTTTTTTTTTAATAAGTTGCAAAGTAAAGCTCTAAGTATTTACAACAAGATTAACTTTCCCCTAAATAAGACTTAGGGAAACCAGTCAGAACCCTTTGCTTTTCAATATTTACAGCACAGAAACAGGAATTACGCAAGGTATGTATATAAACATCATCTTTGCAAAATTAGTTAATTCTGGATGGAAAAACAAAAAGCTATAAATCCCCTCTAAAAAACAAGCAGACATCTTCACAGACACCTCACATCTGAACAAAATGCAGATCATATATATTCATAACTCTCTGCAGTGCTGCATTAGATTAAAAACTGGGGGAGATGCAATAAATGCTCCTCTACAGTTTATGCCTCACTCTCCCCTCCCCTTCCCCATCTCTGCTACACGCTGCTCTGCAATTCATTTTTATTTAAAAACTCAATGTGGCAGGTACCTACAATTCCTGCTTTCTGAGACTCCTGGGCACAAGGTAAAATTGCTATTTTCTCCTCTCTCAGGAAACCTAAAAGATACCACTGGCATGAAATCTGATACACTTGTCATAACTATCAATCCCTCAAAATAAGCTAGATGTGATTAAATTCTCAGAGAAGTAGGATGGAGAAGTTAAATTCAGGTTTCTGCCAAGTTATCAACATTTGCCAGTTTTAGCAGAGGAAACTTCTCATCTTGCTGGATAAATGTTCAGGTTTTACACTTTCTGCCATGTATTTTGATAGATTTGAAAATCAGCACATTTTGCTAATATTATGTCCAATTAAGTCTGGAACATTTTGCTTTAAGTCAACATTTTTTTCTCTTGACACCTTGAAAAAGAGGGCTTAATTTCAAGACACACAGGACATGAAAAGAGAAAATAATGGTGACATCAGTGATTATTAAAACATATAAATGTAACATTATACACGTTATATAAGCCCCTGAAAACAGTACAGAAAACCAAACAGTATTTACTGCAATTGGTGTCAAGACAGCCGTTGATTTTAAGGAGAGGCTCCGCTTGGTCAGTTCATGAGAGCCAGGAAGGCACCGGGGAGCCAGGGGGCCCTGGGAGAGAATCAGGGAGCTCAGGACACGGCCCCACCAATGACACCCAAGGGCCAACACCAGGACTGAGGAATAAGGCAAAACAGGCTCTGGAGGAGAAAACCCACGGGGACCAAAGTTTGTCAACACCTACCTGTAAGCTCTAGCTCAGCTGTACTGCACACCCGTAGCCTGCGAGCCGGAGCGTAACCAGTGCTGGCCGTGGATGTAATGGCTGCAGACCCAGGTCCCCCATCCAGCAATGAGAAGAGATGTGCTTCACTCCGTGTTTGTACATACTTTAATATTTACCATAGAATGGGCACCAAGGTCTGACCAGGCTCCCCACCTAGTTCACCAGCTTTATAACCAGTCACATTTTGCTCTCCTTTTCCGGACCTGGCTCGGGAGCTAGCGATGACCAGCACCACTCATCAAAATGCAAACACATCAAAAGCCAGGCCCAAGCAAAGGGGAGCAGAGCAAGAGGAAGTCTCATCCATTTCTTTCCTCTTCCCTGAGGAAAGACTATAATCACTAATCACAGTAATAAATTACCTGCAATCAGATTAGCTTTTTATTCATCGCATTCAGGTTTTCTCTTCCTGAAAGGCCCTGTGGCACTGCACAACATTCATTCTCTCTGATACAATTTATGAAATATTTTGGTGTGTTTTCTTTTGGCAGTCCTGCCCTTTGTCTATAATCTGCTGACCTTCTGCATTTAATATGGAAGCATATACAGTCACACACAAAAATCTCCTACTCCATGGTATTTTAGTTTCATCTTGACCAGATTAATCTCTGCGTATCTACATCTGTGCTGTCTGTACAGAAATGCTGTAGTACAATACACAGGTTGAAAAGCATTTCCTCATTTTCCTTCACTAAATTTTTGTTAGCTACATTTGGTCTTCATTAGTCTAATTTCCTAACTATTAAATTTTCCATCATGCATCAGTAATATCATTCATTCTAATTTATACTGTGAATCTGGAAAACAGGTAGAAGAATCCCTTTCCAAACTAGGAAAAGAGCTTGATCTGTTTGCTGGGACGAGCACTTCAGAAACCCCAATTATCAACTCCCAGGGTAATAACTGAGTTTAAATTAAAAATACTTACGTGTTTAACAGGTGAGATCAAAAGGCTAAAATTACAGCTACTAAAAATGATATGGGCATCAAGTCTGTGAAGTAGAGTCACTTATACTGGTGTATTTGAATTCCTACTGGTGTATATATACACAGTGTGTGCGTGTGTATGCACGCATGTGTATCTTCAATATATATTTATATTAGTTTGGCTAAGATGTTTTCAACATCTGCCCTCAACAGCAGAAGCAAGAGCACAGTGTAATCACTGATCAAGAAAATATTGCAATCAGACAAGTTTTCTCTTCTGGAAGACAAAAGCTCCGTATCAGTCTTGCTCAAATAAAAGCGAAGATCATTAACTGTGAATAACTTGTAAAAATGGAATTGTTTATAGTAAATACATTAATCTGGGAGTCTCAGAAGATTTCTGTGGCTTCTCATTTAACAAGTCAACCCTCAAGCTACAGTCCCACGTACCTTTGTCCCTCAAGCATTCATCCTCACTCCTGTGCCACCATGGCTCTTTGCCAACACAAGGATTTGGTGGCCGCAGAGCACAGTGGATCAGAAAACTGATCCAGCTGAAAACTGATGTAGCAAAAAAAGAATGAAGCTCTGTGAATGTTGGTAAGGCAGGACTTCTTTTGCTGGCTGCAACCACTTACATCACTTTAAAGTGTTAGCTGAGCAACAGACTTACTTCTAATACAACTATTAACACAGGATGAGGGGGGAAGCTGGGGGGGGGGGGTGTTGGGTTTTCTTAACCTATGTAAGTAGGTGTTCCAGTGGTTTTTTTTTAAGTTCACCTTAAGTACTTGATCGTAGGAGTCCTTAATCTGTTGAACAACCGTTACCGTTTTAATGGCATGCTTCATACGAGTACAATTTAGTCACATAACCCAAGTTCTGTAGAGCTGCCAGACATGAAAAGGAGTCTGACTGGCAATGAATGTTAACTGCTGAGTCCCTATAAAAATAGAAAATCACATTATTTTTTGACTACTGTTACCTACAAAACCCACAGGGAAACAGGGGAATAAGAAATAATGTGATACTAGCTGTTTATACAGTGGTAGAAACCTGTATTTACAAACAAATGCTACGCCAAGTGCTTTTGATGTGAAGCTCTGAATATGCATACGCAGATTAACTATTCAAACTACACAACACTTCCATGAAATGTGAAGCGTTTTCATGCCCATTGCATAGCCCCACAGACCCTTTGGCCATATGTTAAGAAATGGGCTGAGAAACCTTGAAGTACAAATTGTAGTCCCTTCAAAAAGAGGGAAAATCTGTACAAATGAGATGCCCATGCAAGTGAATCATCTCCCATTTATGGTATATCATATATGCTTCAAAAATGCAAAACTGGTCATGGAGCATTCACCTATAACCAACCCCATACACGTCCAGAGATAAACACTGAAGGAGCAGATTTTGTGTCATTCCTATGGACTTCCAGTCC